GCAGTGCAGTGTGATGGTGACCGGTTGAATGTCTCCTCTGTGCTCTTTTCACTGTTGCTGTAAGTCACTGGAGGGGAGACCAAATAAGGTTTGTTGAAGTTGTAAATTAAGAAATTAACGTAAATTGAGAGATTTGGTGACTGGACATAGTTTTTCTCTCGTCAAAAATACCTTCAAGAAGTAAGAGTTCTAATGGTTTGAGAAATACCTTTTATTGCAGTGATTAGAATATTGTAGTAAGTGGAAATTAGCAAGCCCTTATTAGAGTTAAAACAGAAGTTTCAGGCATTTTGAGGGTATTGCCGGGCATTTTTGCTTCTCGTGCAGTAAACAAATTATTTTTCAGATGGAAGTTTCTGTAATGTGGCAGTTCACAGTGTCTAGTTCTGAAAAGGGGTTTGCTCCATATTGTTCCCTTAGGATCTTAGATAAACAGAGTGGGGGTTCCAGATGGCAGCGTTGGACATTTTTCAAGAACGTGCTTGAGCACCTTGGGAGACGGGGAAGCCCAGAGTCAGCGCAACAGGGGTTACAAGAGGGTGGAAGGGGAAAGGGTTGCTAAGAGTACAGATGAACAAAGTAGAGAGTAGTGGCCTGGGGAGGGGCTGGACGCTGCCACAGGAGGGATCGGAGGGAGACCAGCCTGGCTGGAATTGTAACTCTGCCCCTTCACCGCCTCTGAGGGTGCCCTAACACGTGTCCCTGCACCTCTCCCCCGTGACTCCTCCCCCAGCGTGGGGCGCACATACAGTCCACACACACTTGTTACGAAGATCATGTCACACCGCCTGTAACATGCCCAGCATGGTAGCTACAGGCAGTTCGTGTTTAGTAAAGAGCGTGCTATACCGATGGTCGGAAACAAGGACCCTGTGCCCTGCTTTGCCACGTGGGCCGTCTCGCCTGTGGAAGATTCTTTGAACTCCTCCGCGCTCGCTTTCTCCCCTGTAGAACGGGGATGTAACGTTCTCACCTGGTACTGTTACGGTGAGGCTCAGCACCCTCACCGGTGGAGGCACCTAGTCCAGAGCCTGGTGTTACTAATCAGCAGCAGAGCATAGGGACGTGCCTTCCAGTTCCATCAGTGGCCGCTCCTCTGGATCTTACCGTTTCGTGCTCGCTCCTCGTACAGAATTCTGTCAGCAGTGGGTCAGTCCTCGGTGTTTTTAAGGAGGTATTTGTATTTTTAGAATCGTCTGTATTTTTTAGCTTCTTGAGACCGGGTGGCAGTAAAATGACATTTGTCCCCAAGGGTCGCTACACATTCATTTTTTAGGTTGTGTATTCTCAAACATTTGACATCTCCATTCATTCAGATTCATCCTTAAATAGCCAATCAAAAAAAGGTTTGGGACCCCCCCTTTCTTTCCCCCAGTATAGTTAACATACAGTGTTATATTCGTTTCAGGTGTACGATACGGTGATTCAGCAATTCCATACATGACTCATCAGGATAAGTGTACTTTTAATCCCCTTTGCCTGTTTCTCCCATCCCCCACCGCCCTCCCCTCCCCACCCACCCCCAGTTCCAGTAACCATCAGTTCTCCAGAGTCCGTGTTTTGGTGTGTCTCTTTTTTTCTTTGTTCTTTTGTTTCTTAAGTTCCACGTGAGTGAAATCATACGGTGTTTATCTTTCTCTGACTGACGTAACACTGTCCTCTTTAGATCCATCCATGTTCTGAATGGCACTGTTTCGTTTTTTATGGCCGAGTAATATTCCGTCGTCTGTGTGCACACCACATCTTCTCCGTCCATTCATCTGTCAGTGGACACAGGCTGCTTACATAATTTGGCTATTATAAATAATGCTGCAATAAACATAAGGGTACATACATCTTTTCAAATTAGTGTTTTCATTTTCTTTGGCTAAATACCCAGTAGTAGACCCATATTACTGGGTCATATGGTAGTTCTGTTTTTAATTTTCTGAGGAAACTTCATATGGTTTTCCACAGTGACTGCACCAGTTTGCATTCCCACAAGTGTGTCTCTTGGGGTGTGTGTGTGTGTGTGTGTGTGTGTGTGTGTGTGTGTGTCTGCCTGCCCATCCCTTTTTTTTTTTTAATTTTTTTTAACGTTTATTCATTTTTGACAGACAGAGACAGAGCATGAGTGGGGGAGGGGCAGAGAGAGAGAGGGAGACACAGAATCTGAAGCAGGCCCCAGGCCCTGAGCTGTCAGCATGGAGCCTGATGTAGGGCTCGTACCCGTGAACGCACGGTCATGACCTGAGCCAAAGTCGGGTGCTTAACCGACTGAGCCACCCAGGCATCCATGTCCCTTTTGAATATAGTATCTGGTATATTTAAAAAGCTGTTATTTATATTTAATAAAAGCTGTCAACGAGTGAGAAAAGTTCT